CGTTGGACTGATGGGAGGTTAGTACAGGACCATCACTAGTTTCCTACATGACTTCAAATAAGTCCTTTAATATGTCTTGGTCTTGTTATCTTCTAGTGTGTCATTCTGATTGTGAGGACACATCTCAAGAATTCCTGACACTTTAGGTACAGGCTTGTGTCTGCAATCTCAGCACTATGGAGGCAGAGGCCAGAAGATCAGGAGTTTAAGGTCATCCTTGGTTGCATCAAGTTCAAAACCAGTCTGGGGTACATGAAACTCTGTCTCAAAAAAAAAAGGAATAGAGGAGAAGAAGGAAAAAAGGAAAAAGAGGGGAGGAAGGGAAGGTATCGAGGAGGAGGAAGAGGGTGTGGGAAGGAGAAGGCAACTCTTAACTCTACAAACTGCCTCTCCTAGTTTTTGGCTTTCCGATGTATGAGAGTCTAACACTGTGCTAGAATAAGCAGCCAACATTCTATGTTTATGACATTCCATAAAATGTAGAATCTACATGATAATTTCATGTTGCTCTTGAAGAAAACCCTGTTTCCCCCATTCATTCATGACAGCCAGTCCAACGGACATGGCCTCCTCCAGTTGTCAGTGACATTCATAGATACTTCCATGTTTTTGATAAGATTCATATGGCTCCCACTCCTGAGCAGATCTTCATGTCACAAAAAAAAAAAGATGAGGAGAAGGAGAGAAAAGAAAAAGAAATTAAAGAAAAAGGGGTGATTGTGGGGCTAGAGAGATAGCTCAGTAGTTAAGAGCACTTGTTGCTCTTGTAGAGGACCCGAGTTAGTTCCCAGCATTCATATGGTGGCTCCCAACCATTCATAATTCCAGATCCAGGGGGATCCAACACCATCTTCTGGCATCTGAAGACAACTGCGTTAACATACACACATGAATAAAAATAAAATTTCAAGAAATCCTTTAGAAACAAAGTAAATAGGTAAGCACCAAGGTCAGATTTTAAAAAAAAATTAACAGTATCTTCAATTTCTAAATTTGTGTGTGTGTGTGCAGGCACACATGTGCCATGGCATACATGTGGATGTCAGAAGACAATGTCTAGGAATTGGTTCTCTTCCAGAGCAGCTTCTAGGGACTAAACTCAGGCTCACAAAGAAAGTTCCTTTTCCAGCTGAGCCATCTCACTGACCCACAATATTTAAAAACACTAGTTGTAGCATTTATTCCTGCTTCTGAAAAAAAAAATAGAGAGAGACTATTATCAGGAGACGCGTTAAATGAATCACCAGTGAAAATGCCAAATACAGCCCAGAAAAAAAGAGAGAAAGTCATTCTTTCCTTACAGCAACTCATCAAAATTAACCAGCCATTTGCATACACCTAATTCTACACTGCTACATTCCGAGGCAATCTCATTAGACTGAGGACATTCTCCCACTGGCTTCATTTTCTCTGCCCGTTGCCTATATTATGATTTCCTCTTATAGTTCAGTTAGAGATGTAACCTTTCTAGATTTCATCTCTTAACCTTTCATGCATTTGATAAAAAAAATTAAAATAAACTCTACTTCAAAAGCATCATAAGTGTTCCTTATAGTGACAGGCAGATGGGCCTGTGTAATCTCAGTAGTCGCTCAAGGCTGAAGCAGGGGGTTCTCAAGTTCCAGGCAAGCAAAACAAAACAAAATCATCAAAATAAATCAAATTCCAATTTCTTGCCAGAAGATAGACTTATTTTGAACTCTAGTTGCCAAATACTTTAAGTCATTATGAAAAAAAAAAAATCAACATCCCTCCCCCTTTGGTTTTTCTTAAAGGGAAGCAACCATAGTCAAGCATTACCTGATCCCCCTTGTATGTGTGTATTGGGGAGGGACAAACATTACCCCATGCCCTATGAAAGTGGGGAGGCAAACATTACCCTGTACCCCATGTATGTGTGTGTGTTGGGGAAGGGGTGTTGTAGAGGCCAAGGGGTATCTTTTCAGAATTCTGTTTTCTCCTACTGTGAGTTCTAGGGATAGAACTCAGGTTAGCTGGCTTGCAGGGCATGTGCCTTTACCTCCTGAGCCATCTCCATATCGTGCTTTAAACATTTAAATACAGAGCTAGAGAAATGGCTCAGTGGTTAAGAGCACTTGCTGTTCTCCCAGAGGACCTGGGGGTCAACTCTTAGCACCACATGGAGTCCCATAACTGTAACTCTACTTCCATCGAATCTGACGTTGTCTCTTAGCATCTTTGGGCACCTGAAGTTACATGCACATACACACACATCGAAGCATACAAATATACATACTTAAAACAAAGTCTTTAAAAATACTTTTTTTAATCTAAAAGAAAAAAGAAATAACCATTTTGCTGAGTCAACTTTCATGGTTTCACATGGTAAACTGCTATATTAGTCAGGGACAGAACAGAACTGATAGAATGATTCTTGAAGAGCTGCTGGTCCTCAGTCTACATTGGGAACCCAAAGAAATTGGTCCTAATATCATTGAAGGGATGCTGCAGCAGCAGGATAGATGGACTTGCCAGGGGGAGTGAGGGCAAGAGGACAAAAACAAAGTTTCCTTTTTCTGTGTCCCTTTACCTAGGCTGCCACCAGAAGGTGCTGCCCACCTTTAGGGTGGGTCTTACCAATTCAAATAATCTGGTCAAGACAAACCCTCACAGGAGAAGTACCCAGGCAGCTTGGGTTTTGGCTGATTCCAGATGTGGTCAAGTTGACAGCAAAATCAACCATCACAACTTCGAACCTCACTGGGCAACACGAAGCATGAACTCCTACTTAGAGAGGAGAAATGAAGTAAATTATTTGGCTGGCCATCCACTGAGGTTCCTGAGGACTGGATTTTCTTCCCATATGCTACCAAAATCCACGATGAAGCTCTGACTCCCACTCTAACTGTATTTAAAGAGAGGGCTAATGAGGTAATCAAGGTTAAATAAAGTCATAAAGGTGGGGGTTCCTGAGATAGGATTAATGTCCTTACAAGAAGAGGCACCAGAAAGTTTGTTCTCTGTCCATCCATGGATGGGCATTCAAAGAAGGACATATGGACATGTAGCAAGATGGCAGCCACCAACAAGCCATGAAAGGAGGCCTCATCAGAAACCAACCATATCCAACAGCACCCTAATCTTGGACTTCCAGCTTCTAAAACTGTGAGAAATTTCTGCTAGGTAAGTTACCACCACCTGAGAAAAGACAAAATTACTGACCATGAAGTTTCTAGATACTCTGGTTTGATTTGTGTCCTCAGAGCATGTCTTAGATTCTATTGCTGTGAAGAGACACCATAACCAGGGCAACTCTTACAAAGGAAAACATTTCATCGCGGTGGCTCACTTAGCGTTTAGAGGTTTAGTTCATTATCATCATAGCAGGAGGCATGGCAGCATGCAGGCAAACATGGTGCTGGAGAAGGAGTTCTCATATCTTGACTCACAAGCAACAGGAAGTGGTCTGTCTCAATGGACATGGCTTGAGAATATATGAGACCTCAAAACCCGCCCCCAAAGTGATGCACTTTCTCCAATCAGACCACACCCACTCCAACAAGGCCACACCTTCTAATAGTGCCACTCCCTTTGGGGGCCATTTTCTTTCAAATACCACAGAGCACAAAGACAGCAGTAACTGGAAAGGAAGGAACGTCTAAGTGTCATCCAACTGTTCTTGGACCTCTTCTTCTTTTTTTTTTTTTTTTTTTGAGGTTTTTTTCTTCTCAGATTTTTTTTATTTGAATTAGAAACAAGATTGTTTTACATGACAATCCCAGTTCCCGTCTCCCTCCTGTTCTCCCCTATTTCCCCCCCCCCAACTAAAATCCTACCTATCACATATCCTTTCTGCTCCCCCTGGATGGTGAGGCCTTCCATAGGGTGTCATCAGAGTCTATCCTATCCTTTGGGATAGGGCCTAGGCCCACCCCAGTGTGTCTTGGCTCAGGGAGTATTCCTCTATGTGGAATGGGCTCCCAAAGTCCACACCTATGCTAGGGATAAGTACTGAACTACTACAGCAGGTCCCATAGATTTCCGAGGTTTCCTCACGGAAGCCCATGTTCCTGGGGTCTGGAGCAGTCCCATGCTGGTATCCGAGCTATCAGTCTGAGGAGCAAGAGTTCCCCAATGTTGAACCTCTTCTTATGGTTGCCCCCAGAAATGAATGTTTCTTTATCTTCTGACAGCAAGTAGAATTATGCTATTGTGAAGATGAGCCTCTGAGTAGAAAAATAGGAGCATCATTCCACATAGTTGAAGAATTTGGTGGATTTCTCTGTCGCTATGAACTTTTTCAATTGGTTGTATTTGTGTGTGTGTGTGTGTGTGTGTGTGTGTGTGTGTGTTAGTAGTAGTAGTAGTAGTAGTAGTAGTAGTAGTAGTAGTAGTAGTAGTAGTAGTAGTAGTAGTAGTAGTAGTAGTAGATGGAAGTGAGAGAATAACTCTCAGGAACCAGTTCTCTCCTTCCACCATGTGACTCACCATCAGGCTTAGCGGCAAATGTCCTTACCTGTGCTTACCTCTCTGGCCCACTAGCAATAAACTTTTAAACTGATTTGGCACTAAGGTCAGCAAGAAGGTTCAATGGGTGATGCTATTTGTCTCTCAGCCCAAGGAGCTGAGTTCTGTCTCTGGGATTCACAGGATAGAGAAACAAGAGAACCCATTGCTGTGGGATAGATAACCCTTCTGTACACTGTGAATATATGTTGCTCTCACTGGTTGATAATAAAAGTTGCTTTGAGTCTGGGAGGCCAGCACAGGACTGACTCAGACCCCTGAACATGGATGTCGATTAGGAGGCCTATGCACTCTAGGGGGCCCTTAGTAGTGGATTAGTATTTTTCCCTGGTGTAAGAAGGGACTTTGAGAGCCCATCCCACGTGAAGTGATGCACTCTCGGCCTGGACACATGGGGGAGGGCTTAGGCCCGGCCCAGGATGATATGGTGGACTTTGGGGAGCCTTCATCGAGGGCCCTACCCTACCTGGGGAGTGGAGGGTGACTAAAAAAAAAAAAGTTGCTTTGGCCTATAGCAAGGTAGAATACAGCTTGGTGGGAAAGCCAAACTGGATACAGGAGAGAAGAAGGGCAGAGTCTGGGAGGTGCCAGACAGCCACTGAAGGAGCAAGATGTTTTAGAGCACAGGTAAAGCCATGAGACACATGGCAAAACATAGATTAATAGAAATGGGTTAATTTAAATGTAAGAGCTAGTTAGTAGTAAGCCTGAACTATAGGCCAAGCAGTTTGTAATTAATATTAAGCTTCTGAGTGATTATTTAGAATTGGCTGCAGGACAAGGCAGGACAAAGAAACCTTTGTTTACAACCCATCCCCATAAACTATCATCTGCCCTACCCTTCCACATACATGTGCCACACATAATCACATTGCACACAATAAAATAATAAATAAAATATTTTTAGTTGTATTGTTATTGGAGAATGTTTTTTTATTTGTGTCTAATGCTTCCCTCCTACGAGGAGAATTTGACCATCTCTCCCTTTATTCATGCAAACGTAACTGGCAATTTTGTAAAGAAAAACTGGGTCTGCTTTACCTGGCTCAAAAAAAGTCAACAGACAGAAAGAAAGTACAAACTCTTCCATCTTATAAATCCTACATGTGGCCTAATCTACATAGAGAATCCAGGATAGCTAGGACTATATAGAGACCCAATCTCCAAAAACCAAAAAGAAAAATAATAACAGTGATAACAAAAATAAATCTTCCATGTAAGGAAAGTGGGCCCTGATGCTGGACTCTGCTAGGAAGCCCATTTGCTCCTAAATGAAGTCAGTGTAGCTGTGTCCAGAATAAAGCAGTATTTTGGCCTGAGTATTCTACTTTTTATTTCTTGAGTGGTTAAGAAAGAAGTAAAGTGGGGTGCTTTTTAACACAGGTCCTTTCAGAAAGGCTACCAGTATGCCTGCAGGACAAACCTCCGTGTTCTATTACTGGTGCACTGAGAAGCCGGAAGCAGACGTGAACCTCAGCAGAGGTGGAATTATCCTTGCAATGACTGCAGTAAATGTTTGTTGAAGGGGAAAAATGGAAAGAGAAGATCTACCATATATACCCAGCTATAATGGAAAGCCTATTTCTGCCATATACATTAGAGAAATTGTTCGAGAAGAGTTCATCCATGTGAAAATATTAGCACTGTAATTCTGCCAAGGTCAGCAAGACCTAGTGATTCGCTGAGATATCACCTTCATTTCACCAGGTAAATAAAGGCTCCTTCCTTGCTGCGTCCTAGCAAGAAGCACTGCAGAACAACGGTTAAATTATGAGTACAGCACATATGTTCCGTACCATATCGTTTACAGCACAATTTAGCATAGACATAATGCTTTGTAACAAACTACAGTACCATTCACAAAATGCATTTAAATAGCATAATTTAGTTCATTAAATCCCGTCATTTACAGTAAATCAAAATCATCACAGGAATTGAGGAGAGTATACAGTTGTTTGTTTGAATAGTTAAGCTAGGCAAGTCAATTTCTTTCTGAAGGTCAAGGACAGAGTTGTTTCCATTTTCTGTGATAAAAAAGATACAGCTAGTGTCAAAAGATAATTTAATGTCATCTCAAAATGATCAACCCGCTTTTTTCTCCCTCCCCCTTCCTCCCTGTCTCCTGGTTCCATTACGTATCACTGCCATCCCTGAGACCTATTTCACTCCCCCAACAGGTCTGTGGGCTAGTTACCTAGGATAGATGTGCAGATTTTTACTAAATCTCAAACACACTATCTCTTCAAATTTTTAACCAAGATGTAAATCATTAATCCTGAGAAAGCTCCAAATGCTTCAAATTGTAGTGCATGTAATAATTTACTTATCTATTTATAATGGCTTGACAGAAGTTCCTTGTGGGTAGGAGCCTGCCTAGTTAACTATATTCTGAGCCTACAATCCAGTAGTGCTTGTTGATTGCAAACTTCTAGAAAACAAGGAGTGGTCTAATTATTCACTTATTTGTATTCCTCATGGCCCCAGTCACAGTACCTCATATACACCCAGGAAATATTTGTTGTTAAAATCCTGGACCAAAGGAATGACTTGGTGGAGCACGGAGCCTGAAAAGCTGAGTCCAATGCCAGTTCTTCCAAGTCATCCACATATACACCATGCCTCACACACGCCTACACACATACTACATATGAAATAAACCAAAAGAAATATGTCTTAATTTAAAATCTTGTTAGAGCATGTCTAACAAGATTTTACTTACTAAGGTTTGTATTGATCTGAATGAAGACCAGGACCAAAATCAACTCAGGAAAGGGTTTATTTGATCTTACAGCTTTCAGACTATCGTGAAGGGAAGTCAGGACAGGAACTCAAGGCGGGAACCTAAAACCGAAGCAAAGACCAGCGAGTAATACTGCTGACTACCTTGCTCCTCATGGCTTGCTCAGGCTGCTTTCTTATATAGCCCAGGACCGCCTGCCCAGGAGTGTCACTGCCCACAGTGGGCCGGGCCCTCCCACATCAATCATTAATCAAGAAAGTAGCCCACAGACTTACCTATGGGTCAAGCAGATGGAAGAATTTTCTCATTTGAGGTTTTCCTCTTTCCTGATAACTCTAGCTTGTATGAAGTTGACAATAAAGGGAACATACCATGGAATATAGTTCATAAGTACAACAAATCAGGGCTGTACTTCCCCCATCAGGGCTGTGTGTGTGTGTGTGTGTGTGTGTGTGTGTGTGTGTGTGTGTGTGTGTGTTGATGTAAGGAAGCACATGACATTGTCACCATGTAGAAGTCAGAAGGCAACCCTACAGGACTGGGTTTCTATCCTTCTACCATGTGGATACTGGGAATCAAACAGGCCATCAGGCTTGGCAGCAAACACCTTCACCTGATAAGCCACCACACTGGCCCAAATCTGCTTTTTAAATGCTTTTAATATTCAAGTGCCTACAATAAAAGGCACAGAAAGGAGAAGACAGATTTTAACAGAGTATTCAAACTCATATCACTGTCTACTGTTTGTTGTGTGCTGAGCAGAGCCTCACATTATATACATAAAATTGTGTTTTACCTTCCACAGGCCTTTCTATTAGCCTGGACCTGACAAACTCAGCAATGGCTAAGTGGATGGGTACCTGAACACTAGCCAGCTGCTTTGAAGCCACCCCAAGTTAGCCAGCCCACCACACTTAGCACTCATCTCTTCCTGTGTGTGCTTTGCACAGGCACCAGGTGAACCACAGAAGTGACAACCTCTGGTTAGATCCAAACTCATCCCTGAAGCTGCCCAGAGGTCAGTTAGGTACTCCGGAAGAGAGCACAGTGACTTGATTAATAAAGGTGGCACAAAATGGTCTCTTTGAAGGCCCAGCACATTCTAGGGACCACTAGAATGTGAATGAGCACCATGGAAAAAAGCGTGAAGGAGAGCTGCCAAGAGAGACAGCTATTCCGGCTTCCTCTCCTTTTCATCACATATCTCTTCCCTAAAAGATGGATAGTTGATAAAACTATTAAAATTAGGGGATATTGTTCTTTTTCAAACTTGAAACTAGGGCCAGTGAGGTGGCTCACCTGGTAAAGGTAATTGTTGCTGAACCTGACTACTCCAGTCTATCCCCAGCCCTTGAGTGCTGGAAGGACAGAATAGACTCCTGAAAGTTATCCTCTGACCTACACATCCCTGTAGTGCGTGTGCGCACTTGCCCCCCCCCCACACACACACTCACACACACACACAATCAATAAATAAACATGATTCAAAAACTAAAGTAATTATCTTGTGTTGCTCTATTTGGGCATCTTCTGTCTTACGAGTCTTTTGCTTGTTTATTTTGATTCCTAGGTTTTTTTGATGGGGGATTTCTTATTTTTTTTATTGCTGTTTGTTTGTTTGTTTGTTTGTCTAAAGAGAGAGAGAGAAAAGAAAAAACATGAAGGAGGATGAGTAGGGAGATGGGAAGAATATGGAAGGAATTAGGAGAAGGAAAAAAAACCTATGATCAAAATATATCACATGAAAAAAATTTAAATAAAATATACATATAAAGAAAATTTAAAAATAAAATATTAAAAGAAAGTTTGCTTTGTTAAAAAGCAAACTTGAAAGTGTTCTTGTACATAACTGGATTTTGTGGGTGAACATCACCAGCTTGAAGAACCAAGTAGCAGTCTGTTTCCATGAATGACTGATATTAAATGACTACTCTCATTAAGGTCTGCAGAGACAACCCAGCCATCTAGAGCCCTTGCTGCTCTTCCGGAAGGCCTGAGTGCAGGTGTCAGCACCCCTGTCTGGTGGCTCACAAACCCTGGAAACTACAGCTACAGGTGATCTGGTGCCTTCTCCTGACCTCTATGGGCACCAGCACATATGCAGACAGACACACATACATACATACACAAATACATTTTTAAAAACAAGTATCATTGGATTTCCCATAGTGTAAAATACAATAAATACTATTTAAATTGTTTAAAAACAAAAAATTCCAGGTAAATTGGTGGTGTGGGCCATTCTACTAATAGGGAGACTGGGGCAGAAAGATTGCCACAAATCAAAGGCCAGTCTGAGTTACATGACAGTACTAAGCCAGACCCGGCTACATAGCAAGACCTGCTCATTAAAAGCATGTGTGATCCAGGCAGTGGTGTCACATGCCTTTAATCCCAGTGCTTGAGAGGCAGAGGCTGGTGGATCTCTGTGAATTCAAGGCCAGCCTGGTCTACAGAGTGAGTTCCAGGACAGCCAGGGCTGTTACACAGAGAAACCCTATCTCAGAAA